CTCACCTACGATCCAATCTGCACTAAATCGCAGCTCAGACTATATCTCCAAAAAGGGCAGAGGCATTGATTACTTCTCTACATGAGAGAAGGATTGACCTACTGCCCTTGAGGCATCATCCAGCTGAAAGAGTATCAAGATGCGCCGGATCAAGGAGTCTACCAACATTGAAACCCTAAGCACACACCCCTTAATGCTAAAGAGTTGATCAACTCTAATTTTCGTGAGGAGGAACACCTATCCCACTCCAGCCCAGGCAAAAGGAGACAAAGCATGCAGTAAAACGGGGGGGGGGGGGGGGGGGGGGGGGCAGCAATACATCTCACCTTCAAACCCTCACCCCACCTCACCATCCAAAACGTACCGCCAATTCTCCCCCGCTGCACTGTTGCAGATGTTGTACTTGTCTTCATGTTCGCAGCTGTCGTTGTAGCAACCCTTGTTTCTGCTCGCATTGTTGTTGTTGTTGTATCTGTCGCTGTTATTGTTGTTGTTGTTGTTGTTCTTGTTACCGTTTCAATTGTTCTCGGTATTGTTGTTGTTGTTGTTGTTGTTGTTGTTGTTGTTGTTGTTGTTGATGTCGATACTGTGGATACTTCACTTGCTTCCGTTTCTTCGGTTGACATCATCACATCTACTGCCATTGCCATCAACCCCAGTTCCACGTCCCTCTCGCCTGTCTCATCAAGCTGAAGAGGATGAGAGTTTTCATCAACAGCAGTCGCTGTTATTATTGTTGTTGTTGTTACTGTTGTTGTTGTTATTGTTGATGTTGCCACTGTAGCTGTCCCTGTTGTCGCTGTTGTCCTCCCTGCTGCCGCCGCCAGTGTGATTAGCTCCAACTCCACCTCCCACTCTCCTACCTCCCACCCTCCGGCCTGGTCTCCGATATCCTGATGCAGATGCGAGTCACTGCGCGCACCGGCACTCTCATCATCAGCCATCAGGTCAACCCACCATCCACTATCCCCCCCTGCATGCTCATCTCTGCCCCACAGTGGCACGGCAGCTTCCCAGCTCTTCCTCATCTTGCCCACCATCGTCTCCATGCCAGACGTCGTCATCAGTGTCTAAGTAGTTATCTCCATGCTGTAGCTCCCCAACCAGCTCCATCACTGACCCAGATAGCTGTGCCTCTATGTGTTTCCTCATCTATGTCACGGCTGACGCTACCCCTGCCCGTGCGTCACGGTCATCAACGTCACCAACAGCAGCTGCCACATGGCCAATCAAAGAGCCCCACACGTCTGCTGGGCGTGCGCACAGGCCTATCAGTCGGGGAGCTCCTCTCCCCAGGCGCAAGTCTAGCTGGGAGGACCGGGCCTAACCGGTCTACCGGCATCAGGGCGCTAGCGCTAGCGCAGCCTGCCTCTCCTCCAGCATTCAGCCAGCGCAGGGACTTTCCCCCGCTCCTTGTCCATTCTGGGGAACGTCAGTCCAGTTCCTGTCCACCGGCAAGTCGAAAATTTGAATACATAGTGAACACGCACACGCTTCCTTCCATCTGGCCGAAGGAACCCTGACCAGCATTGATTGCTCCTATGCAGGAGGATTGATTGTCAGCTTGCCCTACCACTTTTCCTCTCATAATCCATTGTGATTCTGTCATAGAATTCGTGTGCAACAAGAAAAGAGGAGAGTTGTCTATATTGTTGAGACTATGGTCTCAGTTTGCCCATCACTGGGTCGTCGTTCTTGCTGGAGTTCTGCTGTGCCATTTTTCTTCCAGATCAATCTGTTATCTGCCACCATTGCAATCTTTCCCTGTAGAAGCCAGTCTAGCCTCCGAAGAGGGATCAAGGTTGGGGGATGGGCGCTCTGTAGCAGTCCCCCCTTGTTTAGGTGTCCGGTGCCGCAAGGGCTACCGTCTTCCCCCGAACATAACGCACCCTGAAAATGAACGTATGCAAGGCATGTTTCCGGCTCGAAACAGTCAAAATGAGGCTGCGTTGTGTTCGGGGGAAGATGGTAGGCTGCCCCCCTCTTCCTATCTTTTCTCTCCACTGCCCTTGTGTAAAACATGCTTGCCGGTGATAAGCAACTGGACTGACGCCCCCCAGAATAGAAGCGGCCCTAAGGTTGTTTAAAAAAAAGGAGAAAAAAAGAAAAAGAAAGAAAGAAAGAAAGAAAAGAAAGGGCCCTGGGTTGGTTGGCTGCGTGCGGCCTCTGTTACCAACCTGTATGACCAGTAGAACAGCGCCCGAAGAGGGATCAAGGTTGGGGGACGGGCTCTCTGTAGCAGTCCCCCCTTGTTTAGGTGTCCAGTGCCGCAAGGGCTAGGCTGGCCCCCTCTTCTTATCTTTTCTCTCCACTGCCCGTGTGTTAGACATGCTTGCCGGTGATAAGAAACTGGACTGACGCCCCCCAGAATAGAAGGGGCCCTAAGGTTGTTCAAAAAAGAGAAAAAGGAAGAAAAAAGAAAAAAGAAAGAAAGAAAAGAAAAGGGCCCTGGGTTGAGGTTTTAGGGCTTAGGGTTTTAGTGATGATTTAAAAAAGGGGGGACAGATAAAATGGGACAGGGGATATCACGCCTTATGGACAGAGCAGATGAGTGAGGAGGACACAGGCCAGCACGGACAAAGGATGAGCTCTTTGTAGGTGGCATAGCACTATTTGGCAGATCTGGCCTCCAGATCTGAGAGGAAAGAGAGGGATATGGCAAGCTGACAGTCAATCCTCCACCGAGATGGAGCAATCAATGCTGTTCAGGGGTCCTTCGGCCAAACGGAAGGAAGCGTGTGTGAGTTTCAATGTAATGTATATTTTGACTTGCAGGTGGAATAGGAACCGGACTGACGCAAGCTGAGAAGCAGGAAGAGGTGAACCCGGAAAAGGCCAAGGACATAATCAACAAATTTCAGACTAAGGTCTTAGCTGCAGGCAAAGTGGCGACACTGGAAGGGAAGGCATTGCGCTTCCATTGGTTTAAGGAGGATCACCAGGACACATCGCAAGAGGACATGCGGCAGGATCAAGAACTGGGGCAGCCATAATCCAAGGGTAGGCGGACACATCCCGAACGAACGAAGAGGGACTAAGGAAAGGAAAGAGGAGGGGGTCACAGGCTTAGGGGTTAGGGTTTAGGGTTTTAGCAGGGGAAGCGCAGTGGCAAAGGGATAGGGAAGTGTGTTTTCTGGCTTTTCAAAATACAGCTCCTGAAAAGGTAACATGGGAGGGAGGGAATAAGCCGAGGTCGACGACACTCGAGAGCAAGCACGGGGAAGTACATAAGGATGTCTTATCACAAGGACCGGGGGAACGTATCCCTGCCGACTTCAAAATGGTAACTCAAAGGGCTGCAACATCGGCTGAGGGTCTAAGGGTTTTGGACTGGGAACTATTCAAGTACACGGGAGGAAAGGTGGAATGAGAGGGGATCAGATTGACAAGGTCAACGGAGGGGCTCTTTCTAGGTTTAACGATGCTATCTGGCAGACAGGGATGACCAGTCTGAGAGGGAAGAGAAGGGCCTGGGCAAGCTGGCAGTCAATCCTCCACAGAGGTGGAGTAATCAATGCTGTCCAGGGGTCCTTCGGCCAGACGGAAGGAAGCGTGTGTGAGTAACTTTACATGTATTTTTCTTGACTTGCCGGTGGAATAGGAACCGGACTGATGCTCCCCAGAATAGAATGGAGCCGGGACCATAAGGCCCTGATTGTTAAAAAAAAAAAAAAAGGAACCGGACTGACGCTCCCCAGAATAGAAGGAGCCAGGACCATAAGGCCCTGTTTAAAAA